GCCATTTTTTACTCTTTTTCCCCCCTCTAAATACTAGAAATGATCTTGTGTATTCCCTTCCACTCATAACAAGGACTCTCTTACTGCTTTTATTTACTTAGCTGATTTGTTCCTGTTCTGTGTGGCACAGCACAAAATCAATGGCCTGAGAAATAGTTGTAAGATCAGTAAGCATCAGTGGCCTAAGAAACAGCTACAGGATTCCAGGATCAAAAAACAATCGTCAGTAGTGAACACAAAAGACAGGATCCAGTTGCTACCCCTCATAGACCATGCATCAACATCTGATTTCAAGGATTTCAACAAGAGTCTGCAGTACAACTTGGAAAACTTAAGGTGTTAATTAACTTCAAGTACACTAATTAATGCACATTAACTGTGTGTAGAATAAAAAGGATTTATTATTGATTAACTGCGAATCTGGTCTTTGCTCCCATCTTCACTGCTTTGTTTCTTTCCTCCTCATCCTTTTCATACTGTATATGTGAACACATTCTTTTGCAGACCACAGTCCATATACTTGGATCCACAGCCAATAGATTTGCTGTACAGGAAAGTCATTAAGGCCAAAGGACTAAATTGCATAGTTACATAGTTACAGTGTTTCAGTACTCTATCAATTCTGCACTAACAGGCAGTCTAGTACCCTTTCTGTAAATGGTACCCTTAGGCTAAGTGTCACCTCTGATACACCACTGAATTTTTATTTCCCTGTTTAGTCCTGTTGTTGGCAAATGCCTCGTGCATAAGCTGAGATCCTTGTTACTTTTGTTTAAGGGGAAGTAAACCATTAAAAAATGAGAGAATTAAGAGAGAAGCATTTTATTCTTTCAGTTTTCTCAGCAGCTTGAAAAGACAATGATGTTAGCAACGCAGTGCTCCAATATTAAGTAGAAAATTTTCTTTCCTCAGGTATATGCCAAAACATCTTCAGCACGATGTAAAGCATTGCTTGATCGATAATCACAGAATCATAGAATGGTATGCGTTGGAAGGGACCTTTAAAGGTCATCTAGTCCACCCCTGCTGCAATAAGCAGGGACATCTTCAACTAGATCAGGTCGCTCAGAGCTCCGTCCAACCTGACCTTGAATGTTTCCAGGGACGGGGCAATCGCCACCTCTCTGGGCAACTTGTTCCAGTGTTTCACCTGCTTCAATGTAAAAAATGTCTTCCTTATATCTAGTTTGAATCTACCCTCCCTTACTTTAAAACCATTACCACTTGTACTATCACCACAGGCCTTACTAAAAAGTCTGTCCCATTTATCTTACATGCTCCCTTTAAGTACTGAAAGACCACAATAAGCTGTCCCCGGAGCCTTCTCCTCTCCAGGCTGAACAATCCCAACTCTCTCAGCCTTTTTTCACAGGAGAAGTGTTCCAGCCCTCTGATCATTTTTGTGGCCCTCCTCCAGACCTGAGCCATGTCTTTCCTATGTAATGCCCATTAACACTAGAAAATATACAACAGGAAAATATCCCACTTGGATAAACGGTTGGATTAGATGGCCTAAGAGATATTATCAATCTCTAACTTTCGTGATACCATGAAATTTTTTTAGCTGCTAGTATGGTATCAATTTTAACATGCATCAGCAACCTAACTTTATCTAGTAGTCTCAATATATACAGCATAAGAGACAAACAGAAATAGTTTGCATTTGGAATACTGAGCTTTAGAGCCTGTTTTTTAATATTTGCTATTAAGTCAATTTTGTAATGACATGGCTCAATTGATGCTGATGGGAGTTTTGCCACTGATTTCAATGGAATCCAGGTTTCATCTTGAATGCCTAGAGCTATACAGTCAGTTTGTTACTATCTGACCCTGTGAGCAAGGAGTTGTCTCTTGCTGATTGCTCATTACACTTAACTTTATGACAGTGAAAAGAAAGAATATAAATTGAAGAGTTTTGCACTTGGGGGTATAGTTTGTTTCGAATGGTTGTCAAACCCAGGACCAGCAGCTCAAAGTACAGAATATTACGGTCAATCAGCTCTACGAGAGAAGGAAGGAAGTCAAACATATTTGCACAAAATGAACATCAGAGCAGGTGAGTGTCTTCCTCTCCAAAGACTAAATGGTCGTTTTGCATGCTCCTGCCAGGCCTCGCAACTCCCACAATGACATGACCAGCTAGACTACTTGAATACTCTTCCACATATTTATCTGGCAATAATAACAATAACACATTGCCACTTGGTTTGGCACATGTAAAGTCTCGCCACTCATTAAATTATGGTCTTTGGAATAAAAAGGATATATGGACCCTTCCCATAACTCTTCCCATAACTTTACGGCACAAAAATGCTCCACCAGTAGCCAGTTTGATGCTACAGTTAATGGCACTTGGGATATTTATGCATAGTATATAGATGCACAACCAGCATTCAGACAGATCACTGTACTGATTCTAAGCTGATTATTTTCTTCATTTTGCATTTCTCAGGGACACATAACTGACACTACTGATTTCTACTCAGGCATGATGACAGCTATCTGTAAGGCTAGGATTCCTGCCGTCCAGCTGAAAATACTCTGTCAAAGGGAATTACAGAGACATAGTGGCTATACTCCTTAATAACAGTAATCCTAAGTGCCAGGGAGAAATCATATGCTAGGGAAACAATGGTCTTTACAGCTGGACTGTCAAAGTCAGCTTTTAAAGTCACGATATTTGCACCTAGAGATTTAGTTTAACTCATTTTTCAGAGAGCCTAGCAGCAAAAAATGCGACTTTTAACTCTCCCTTGGAATCTTTGATTTAAGCACTAGTAAAGCAGATGAAAAGTTTCAGTACAGCTCCCACACTGAACATCTGCAGATATTTATTTTAGGCAAATCGGGCTTTCTAATAGATATTAACGATCTGCATGGAAACTCTGAAATAAACTTATGTTCTATGGTTAACCCACTGGCCTTGAAGCTGATGTGATGTAAATGGAACTTCACAGGAATTTCTCTCTTTTACACTACAATACAGTTAAACAGCCTACATATGTATTAGTATCTACAAAGTGCTCAGAAACTAAACCTACTACATATTGTACTACATAGTTTGGTTTCCAGTGGTTCAAGGATTTTTCCAGCTACCAATTTAATAACTAACTAACTAATAATAAATCAGCATAACAAGTTAGCATGAACAGGACTAACAGGCAAACTTAAAGCAAAATATCTTAAGATTTTGAAAAATATTATTAAAGTATCATAGTAGGGAGTAACACCAGTAGAAAATATAGCCTAGCAGCAATATACTAGACACAGAGACATACACGTAAATTAAGAGCATGTAAAACGGCTATACTTTTACTTCAAAATACTTCAATTATCACAATTTTTATTTGCTCCTCTACAGACCCTTGAGAGTACCCTAGGCATAGCAGGCCACACTTACTACTCTGACAGGAAATACCTTATTGCTGATACACCACTGAAATATCATTCTGAACACAGGAGGATTTTTGCCTTATCCCTGGAAAGTTACATGAAATAACTTTTTCCCAGCTTTTCCAATGCCTGCTTCCTGGCTCTTGTTCAAATTGAAATGCAAAAAAATCAAGACTACATGTAGAGCCCTTTACCTCCCAAATCTAACAAAGGAGCGAGAAAACATTAACAAACTTTTAATAGCAAAGCTCTGGAGTTTTATTCTGTGTATCTCAGAATGCAAGAGTCCTGCATTAAAAGAGTCTAAAGTTAATCATCATAACGGGCAACTTCTACTTCTCATCATTCTAATTCAAATTTCACACAAAAATGCAACTGGTTCCATTTCTGGTACGCAGGATCCTCAGGAGCAGCACTGTAATGTGCTCACGAATGCAAAGGCTAGCACAACAGGACTTCAAAAACGAAGAGGGGAGGGGTGAGGGAGCGGCCACGTGGTGCCTTAGCTGCCGGCTGGGCTAAACCACAACACTGGAAAATCTGCACGAAGCTGACAACAGTCAGAAAAAGGCATCTGCATTTACAGGAAGAGCAAGCTATCTGAGGAAAATGGCAGCAGCGAACTGTTGTTTCATTTGCGTGGATCAATGTCCTCTCTTAATTTATTATGCTTGGAGAATCCCACCGAGGCTGCAGACTCATGGAGCTAGGAACGTGTCCTTGCCAAAAGACAAACCGTTTAAACTGTACTCTCAATAAATAAGTGCTTCTCCCTGTGAAAAGACACACTTTCTGGTTTTATGGGCTTGCTTTCAGAATCCATCTGAAAATAGGCCAAATCATGTTTCTCTGTTTGTGTTACATGGTGATATGATTAGCAATTATATACCAATTTAGGACAAGGGCTTTGGATGAAAATGAAAAGAAAGAGAAGTGCACTGAAAATTCACAAGCTGTTTTTTAAAAGTACAAGGGCCGCAAGTCTGTCATGCCTGTAATTTTCCAGTGGACTTGGCAATGACAATATCCTCGTATCCTGTTTCAGCAGTAAGACGCACAGAGAGTAGCTTGGTGGCAGGTGGGCTGCTTATATTATCTGGATGCAATGATGAATGGAAACTATAAAGATTCTGAGCAGAACAGCATGACAATAGTTTTAATGGCTTGTAATATCATTTGCTAGGGTCCAGTAAGGTCAAGTACTTTACAAACTAGAGAAACTAGGACAATAAAAATAAACAGTATAAAATCAGAACATATTATAATATGAGTCATCGCTCATATTGAAGATGTTTGAATATACATTTACACCTGGCAAAAGTACACAGTTAGTTTTGAGCATATCATGAATTTCAAAACACTGAAGGCTCAGTTTGAACAGCAGTTCTGGATAGCTAAGGTATCTCATTATGGACACAGCTCAGAAGAAACACGGAACCAGTCATATGGGCTAGAGAAGTCAAACGTGCCCACTTATGGTACAATCCACTAAAGTGTTCTGCAGGAGAGCAGACTTCGGCCTCTTCAGGGATCTCCTCGCTAGAGTACAATGGGATGAAGCACTGAAGGGAAGAAGGGCACAAGAAAGCTGGTTAATATTCAAGGATCACCTCTGCCAAGCTCAGGAGCAGTGCATCCCAACAAAGAGAAAGTCAGGTAGGAACACCAGGAGGCCTGCATGGATGAACAAGGAGCTCCTGGACCAACTCGGACACAAAAAGAAGGCCTATAGAGGGTGGAAACAAGGACAGGTAGCCTGGGAAGAATGCAGAGTGATTGTCCGAGCAACCAGAGATCAGGTTAGGAAAGCTAAAGCCCTGATAGAGTTAAATCTAGCCAGGGACATCAAGAGCAACAAGAAAAACGTCTATAGATATGTCAGTGATAAAAAGAGATCTAGGGAAAATGTAGGCCCTCTCCGGAAGGAAACGGGGGACCTGGCTACCCAGCATATGGAGAAGGCTGAGGTACTCAATGACTTCTTTGCCTCAGTCTTCACTGGCAAGAGCTCCAGCTGCACAGCCCAAGCCATAGAAGGCAAAAGCAGGGACTGTGAGAATGTAGAATCGCCCACTGTAGGAGAAGATCAGGTTTGAGACCATCTAACGAACCTGAAGTCCATGGGCCCTGATGAGGTGCATCCACAGGTCCTCAGGGAACTGGCGGATGAAGTTGCTAAGCCACTATCCATCATATTTCAGAAGTCATGGCAGTCGGGTGAAGTTCACACCAACTGGAAAAGGGGAAACATACCCCCATCTTTAAAAAGGAAAAAAAGAAGACCCAGGGAACTACAGGCCAGTCAGTCTCACCTCTGCCCGGCAAGATCATGGAGCAGATCGTCCTGGCGACTATGCTAAGGCACATAGAAAATAAGGAGGTGATTGGGGACAGCCAACATGGTTTCACTAAGGGCAAATCCTGCCTGACTAATTTGGTGGCCTTCTATGATGAGGTTACAGCATTGATGGATAGGGGAAGAGCAACTGACATCATCTACCTGGACTTATCCAAAGCATTTGATACTGTCCCACACGACATCCTTGTCTCTAAACTGGAAAGACATGGTTTTGATGGATGGACCACGCGGTGGATAAGGAATTGGCTGGATGGTCGCACTCAAAGAGTTGTGGTCAATGGTTCAATGTCCAAGTGGAGGCCTGTGACGAGTGGTGCTCCTCAGGGGTCAGTACTGGGGCCAGTGCTATTTAACATCTTTGTTGGTGACATGGACAGTGGGATCGAGTGCACCCTCAGCAAGTTTGCAGATGACTCCAAGTTGTGTGGTGTTGTGGCCACGCTGGAAGGAAGGGATGCCATCCAGAGGGACCTTGACAGGCTGGAGAGGTGGGCCTGTGAGAACCTCATGAAGTTCAACAAGGCCAAGTGCAAGGTCCTGCACGTGGGTC